CCCACTTGCCGCATGAAGACCAGCCTATGCCTTAACCTACCTACTCTCTCGAGCTGAGTGTGTGGGAATGAGACTAGGATTCACTCTCTCGAGCTGAACCTCATGTCAACCCACTCCCACCGGCCATCAATTTAGTAGTTTTAGTTTTACGACCTCTCTCTTGAGCAAGTCGAAAACACATAAATAAACTTGTATTTGCAACTACAAATTCATCCACAACTACTAAACGAAATCACGATTAAACTATCAGCAAGCAAGATCCAACAATTATCTTAACCCATATTCGTTAAATCACACCCCAAGAATTGAGGTTTTTAGCCACACATGTATAAGAGATAGAAATTTATACCAAATTGAGCTCGCATTCAACTGGTATGAAGATTTAATTTTTGATACATACCAAAATTGAAGAATCCAAGAGACCCAAATCCAAATCTTGAAGATGAAACTCTTTGGATCTTCAAGTCTTCAAAACCGTCTCAAACTTAGAGCAAAAATATTAGAAAGTACTATTATATATGAAAATTATAATAATTGTTCGACTCCTAAAACTACAACTCTAACTAGTATTTATAGTTTTCACAGATTTGTGCTGCAGCGGATCAGTCGGCGTCGTTAGTCGGAATCGCCGATCAACTCGGCGATTTGGCCTTTGGTGTAGTTCATCGCCGTCTTGCACCAGCCTTCAGCATCGTCGTGCTCTGGGTCATTGGGCAACATGGTACTGCTTCGCGGAACTTTTCGGCGATGCGCTGACTGCTTCCTTTTTCCGCCGACTTGACCCTTTCCTTCAGGGCTCAGCACACTGGAACAAAAGGCGAAGTAAGACCCTTCAGCGACTCGCCAAGTGGACTTGGCGATCCTCAGGCCTTCATTTCTTCATTCTTTTCAGCCTTTTCGTTCCTTTTTGTGACCTAGTGTCCATGCTTTCCTTCAAACTTCAAATACGTGAAAGTTAAGGGTTTTTATCAGATATTGAGATAAAATAAGCATTTGAGGACACAATTTCTATTAAAATATAGCCCTAAATGAGTCCAATTTGTGGACTCATCACAACTCATTCATACCTGTCTTGTAAAATGATTTTCTTGAGCCGAGGGTCTATCGAAAACAACCTCCCCACCCCACTAAGGTAGGGGTAAGGTGTGTGCATACCCCAATTTCCTTAGACCCCACTTGTGGGACTGTACTAGGAATGTTGTTGTTAAATGAGAGTTTTGATATGCTTAATTACGATGTATATAGTTCTTCTTTGCCTCAAAAGCGATCCTAAATTGCAGTTTTGTAGGCCTGGTTCGAGTGACATTGGTAAATTGGGCTATGCTTCTTTAACTGTCTGGAACATGAGGACATGGAAAGCTATGGTATGTGATTATATTGGGTCCCGGTTGTATCCAAGTGCTGAATTTACAACACTATTTCTGTTCCTTTCTTCATAAGGATTCTCAAACCTAACTCTCTTCAAACTTTATTGAAGACAGTCCTTCCTCTTGGTGAAGATCCACCTCCAATTACTTCAGTATGCTTCAATCACAATGGAAAACTTTTAGCAGCTGCAGCTACTGATGGAATGATACACATGTTTGGTATCCTTGTCTGAACTTGTGAACATAGTCTGTAGCGTTCCTCTCTTATACCTTGCATTAGAAACTTTTATATTTATTTCCATATTTTGTGTCTATTTCTCTCTCTCTCTCTCTCTCTATATATATATATATATATATATATACTAGTTTTGACGCACGTGCAACATCAAACCATGTACTACACAATTTTTAAAAATATTGTGAATATTATTAAATAAAAAAATTAAGTAAACAATTATAAAATAAATGATAAAGTATAAGCATGTGCATATTATTCCTAATCATAAAAGTCATAACCCTTCGGAAGGCTACAACTCATCAGAAAAGTCATATAACACTTTGGAAAAGTCGTAACCATTCAATGTGAAATGGTGTCTTCTTTTAATATAATATAATAATATAATATAATATATATAAATAAATATAATATAAAATATAGAAGATATAATAAATTTGATCTTTTAAGATGAAGAATGAAAAACTTCAAACAATTGTAATTTAAAAATTTGAGGAAACCCCTCTTTTTATAGCCAACAAAGGGTAGTGTATGAAAAAATGCTTATTGTGCCTTATTAAAAAAGTGTCACAACCCTTCATGAAAGTCACAACCCTTCAAAAAGGTCACAACTCATCGGAAAAGTCAAAACTCTTTGAACATGTCACAACCCTTTGGAAAAGTCACAACTCTTCGGAAAAGTCACAACCCTGTAAAAAAGTAACAACCCTTCGAAAATGTCACAACTCATCGGAAAAGTTATAACTCTTTGGAAATGTCACAACTCTTTAATGTTTAAAGGTGTATGCTTTTAATATAATATAATATAATATAAAATAAATAAATAAATAAATAAAATACAATATAAATTATGTAAGATATACTAAATTTGGTGTTTTAAGTTGGGGGTAGATAAAGAGATAGATATGGAATTGTCTAATTTTAGTTTCATATGAAATTTTAAAAAATAAAAAAGACTTTTAATTTATGGATATGTAGAATATATAAAAATATCTTTTAACTTTGTGGTCTTAAAGATGCACTCGCACCCCCAAGAAAAAAAAAATTCTATATTAAACTAAATAAAAATAGAAGTACAACAAATATATTGGAAACGGAGGAGTACTTATTAAATCTAGTTTGGACTCTTCAAACAAGTTTTTGATCAAATCGTTTTTCTCCAAAAGTTTGAGACTTTTCACAGCTTGAACACCATGTTGTGCTTTGCGCAACATAAAATCATTGAACTTCAAGTAGAAGTTGTTGCAAAAGTATATGTATGGCTATGAAAATGAGTATATATTAATTATCTAGATAGTCTTCTCGTTTGAAGTTGAGTTATTTTATTCTCCTTGCTGGATCAAAATTTTTGTTGATCTATCAAATTTAGCCACAAAAAAATATTGTAATTGCATAATTGAACAACTCTCACAATCTTCCTTGTTTCAAGAAGAAGAATAGTAAACTTACAAAATTCATAGTTTAAAAGTGTGAGAAAACCTCTCTATTTATAGAAAACAAAAGATACTCCCTCCGTCCCTATTTAGTTGTCCATATTTCCTTTTTTAGTTGTCCCTATTTAGTTGTCCATTTTGACAAATCAAGAAAAGACAACAAATTTTTTCCTATTATACCCTTATTTAAATAAAGTTGTCATAAATAAAGTAAATAAACTTATGAACTTCCTAGCATTGATTAGTTATCTTAAGTGAATTTATTTTGGAATTGCAAATTGTACTATAAGGGTAAAATTGTAACTTCACTATGCTAATCATTGTTGCCTTAATCTGTGTGCCATTTCTAAAGTGGACAACTAAATAGGGACAGAGGGAGTAATATGGAAAAATGCTTATCATGCCTTATAAAATAAGTCAAAACCTTTTAGAAAATCACAACTTTTTGGAAATTTCATAACTCATTGAATAAGTCACAACCCTTTGGAACAGTCACTCCCATCAATGTGAAAAATTGTTTGCTTTTAATATAATATAGAATAGAACTCATAACTCATTGAATAAGTCACAACCCTTTGGAACAGTCACTCCCATCAATGTGAAAAATTGTCTGCTTTTAATATAATATAGAACAGAACAAATAAATAAATAAATAAATAAATATAATATAAAATACAGAATATATACTAAAATGAGTGTTTTATGTTGGGGGTATTATCGTAACTTAACATTTAAGTTAGGGAGTTTATAACCCTTTGGAGTAGTCACTCCCATCAATGTGAAAAATTGTCTGCTTTTAATATAATATAGAACAGAACAAATAAATAAATAAATAAATAAATATAATATAAAATACAGAATATATACTAAAATGAGTGTTTTATGTTGGGGGTATTATCGTAACTTAACATTTAAGTTAGGGAGTTCATGCTTTTAATGGTACTAGTTTTGACGCACATGCGTTGCTCGTGAATATCAAACCATTTACCACCACACTATTTTAAAAGATAATGCGAATATTATTAAATAAAAAATTAGTCACTCTTAAAATCTCTTAGTTACACCTCTTAAATATACTTTCTCTTCCCTTTCTCATAGTTTAAACATTTGAGGAAGCCCCTCTTTTTATAGCCAACAAAGGGTAGTATATTAGAAACTTCGTATTGTGCCTTATAAAAAAGAAGTCAAAACCCTTTAGAAATGTCACAGCCCTTCAAAAAGGTCACAACTCATCGGAAAAGTCATAACTCTTCGGTAAAGTTGCCCCCCTCAGAAAAGTCACAACTCTTTGGAAAAGTCGCAACCCTTTAGAAAAGTCACAACCCTTCAAAAAGGTCACAATTCATCAAAAAATTATAATTCTTCGAAAATGTTACAACCCTTCAATGTGAAAACATGATTGTCGTTAATATAATATAATATAATATAATACACATAAATAAATATAATACAATATAAAATATAGAAGATCTACTACATTTGGTGTTTTGAGTTTGGGGTATTATAATAATTTAACATTTAAGTTAAGTAGTTCATTCTTTTAAGGTAGTATAGATAGATAAAAAAAGATAGATATAGATTGGTCTAATTTTATTTTGATATGAAATTTTTAAAAAATAAAGAAGACTTTTCTTTTAAAGATCATATGTAGAATATATAAAAATGTTTTTCAACTTTGTGGTCTTAAAGATGCGCCTACCCCCAAGAAAAAATAACATTCTACATTAAACAGAAGAAAAATAAAAGTACAATAAATAAATTGGAAACAAAAGAGTACTTATTAAATGTACTTTGGACTCTTCAAAAAAGTATTTGATCAAATATTTTTTCTCCAACAGTTGAAGACTTCTGAACACCAAGTTATTATTTGTGCAACGAAAAATCGTTGAACTTATTGTCAAGTAGAAGTTGCTGCAAAAGTATATTTTATGGCAATGAAAATGAGTACATATTAATTATCAAGATACTCTTCTCGTTTGAAGTTGAGTTATTTCAAGATTCTTCTTGTTGCTTTAATTTTTGTTGATCTATCTAATTTACCAACAAAAAATATTATAATAGCATAATTGAACAACTCTCACAACCTTCCTTGTTTTAAGAAGAAGAATAGAAAACTTACAAAATTCGTAGTTTGAGAAACCCCCTCAATTATAGACAACAAAGGATAGTATGAAAAGTTATTTATCCTGTCTTTTCAGATGAGTCACAACCCTACAGAAAAATCACAACTTTTCAGAAATGTCATAACTCATCAAAAAGTCACAACTCTATAAAAAAAGTTACAACCCTTCGCAAAAGTAACTACCTATCAATGTTAAAAGGTGTATGCTTTTAATATAATATATAGCGTAAATAAATATAATATTAAATATAGAATATATACTAAATTGAGTGTTTTAAGTTGGGGTATTATAGTAATTTTAATATTCAAGTTAGGGAGTTCATGCTTTTAAAGTAGTATAGATAGATATAGATATAGTTATAGATTTGAGAGTGAATATGTGCAGTTAGGAGATGCTCTCATAACTTTGCTGGCTTGCATAGTCAACAGAATCTTAACAGGTGATAGATATGTCTGCTGGCTTGCAAATTACTGGATGGCCAGCACATGATTCTGCAATTAGTTCTGTTCTGTTTGGTTCTGATGAGACGAGCATTTTCACTTTGGGTATAGATGGAAAGGCAAGTTATTTAGCGATCATCGAATTCACTTTATTTTTCTTTCATTGAGTGCTTCTCCATATATTCAAGGTTTTCACCTTGCTGAAAGATTTACTTTGTTAGCTGCATTCTGAAGAATCTAACTCAGTAGCATGTAAGACAGATATTTGAGTGGAGCTTGCAGAATCAAGGCAAAGTACTTTGGTCAAGTGATTGCAGCAGGTATGTGGATTGTTTTAATCCTTTAGTTTTGATATTTCATTCTTGTGTGAATATTCCAGTTAACTAGAAATATTCTTTTAGCCCTAGTCTCGTGCTTGTGCATCTCACATGGTCTTTAGCCAGAAGAAATCATTTATCATTATTAAAAAAGTATAAATATGGTATTTGTTATGATACAAATTCATGAGTCATGATAGGCACCTAAAGAGCGACTGCTTGATAGGCAAACCGCAAACATTTGATAGCAACAAACTCATATTCAAAATGATAGTATAAGCTATATAGATAAATCTCCAAGTATCACAGATAATAGTGGAAGAGAAGTATACGTTATAATGCCAAGGAGTTCCTATCCGTCCCAATAGTAAGTCGAGGAGAAGCTACATACTTTGAAGTATGCTGTTTGGGTCGTAGCCCGAAAGTAAAGAAACAAAATATAAATAGCTTGAAGTACCACCACAATGTATGTGGTTCTTTCACCTCATCTGATGCTTCATAACTGCCTCAAACAAGATCAAAGCCCGGACAACAACTACACTAGGTGAAGGATCTGCATAGAGTAGTAAACAACAAGAAGGGCGAGCCAAAGCTCATCAAGATCACTGACCAGTGCTCCCTGTCATAACCCATGGAGAAAGTATCTGAAAAATATATGCATGTTATGAACAAGTATGACACATGTCATATTAATGCAAGTATAAATGAAATACCAACAAGTACAGATGTAACATCTCATGGTATGTGTTTCATTGTATCACTATGCATAGCAAGAGAACGTCCATATTGCACACCCTTACCTGTGTTGAACTACACATCTTAATATACTGTCCATAGTCAACAATACCGCATAGTTGCATACCATGTCCAACCATTAGTGTGTTTTAGTAGCAGACCACTGTGGTGGCAACCGAGCTGTGCGTCTATGTATACCTTCCACGACCAATATGATGCTAACACCATCTCAACTCATTAAACTAATGCATATAAGATAAACTGTGCAATATAATAATATCATATGATGTAAATGAAGTCATGCTATAAATCTCAACACGTATAGAAATGACACATATCTTGGCATGGTTCCTAATTTGTGTAACTAGTATGCTATGCTCAATTTTTCATGCATGATATAGAATATTCTTTAAACTCAAAAGAGAAGTACCTCAATATATAGCACAAGCTAAGAAACCGTATAAATATCTTTGTATGCTCTCACCCTCAACATACTAGGTAATTTAAAGCAATTATGTATATTCTAAATAATGGCTTCAGGAAAGCAAAACATCCGAGAGGTTAAAAGTCTCACTTGCCTTTAAATGCCTTTTCTTCACTTGAAATGCTTAAATCCACTAAGACGACCTCCGAAGGCCCCAATTTATGCAAGATATTGAATACCGCGTTCAAATTAGGTGCAGTATTTCCATAATTTGGATAAGTCAGACAATGGAAGGTCAACCAAAAACTCTACCTCCGACCAAACTAGTCAAAATGCAAAACAAATTATAGAATCAGCATACCCATAAGCTCACATTTCATTTATGTAATCAACTTTCAATCTTGACTTGTATTGCTGGGATGCATCCCCCTTTTTTTTCATTTGTAGAACTAGGTTTAAAATCCTTAAGGCATTCAAATCTCATGTCAAAATCCACAAAAAAAGTATGATTATCTTAATGCCTTAGGTCGAAATCACTCCATTGGTTGAGCCCCCCATGTGTTCTTCCTTCTCCAAAATGGCAAAAACTAAGTGTTGTTTGTATTTATACTTGAACTGTCCTTCAGCGACACCCAAGGGTGTGCCTTAGTGGTTAATGAAGTGGTTGAGAATCCTGAGGTCTCGAGTTCAAAACCCAGTGGAGACAAAAAATACCAGGTGATTCTTCTCATTTGTCCTAGCCTTGGTGGACCGAGTTACTTGATACCTGTTGCTGGAAGGAGGTGGTATGTATCCCGTGGAATCAGTTGAGGTGCGCAAAAGCTTGCTTAGACACCATAGTCATAAAAAAAGAAACTGTCCTTAGTGCTATCACACTCCTCCACAGTGGTCATGATAATTAACCGAACTACCCTTAAATATGATTGCGGTCAGCTTGCACGATAGCGCAAACTTTTGAATTTTCCAATGTGTGGTTGCGGTCAACTTGTGCTGTTGCGCTGATCAAACTCTTCCCACATTGTGTGATTGGGCCTGGTGCAGAATGATTGTGGCTGCACCAAATATAACTTTAGGGATTCAAATCTATGTAAAAATCCACAAAAACAAGTATAATCATCTTAGGTTGTTAATTAATCATTATCTTAGTGCCTTGGGTCGAAATCACTCTGTTGGTTGAGCCCCCACAAGTTCTTCTTCATAATGGCACAATCTAATCAATGTTCATATGTATACTTGAACTTTTCTTCAGAGCTATCACACTCCTCACCAATCATGATAATTAATTGAACCGTCTTTAAGGGCTATTTTGGTCAGCTTGCTAGATAGCGCTGGCTTTTGAATTTTCCAATGTGCGATGGCAATCAACTTACGATGACCAAACTCTCCCCACACTGTGTGATTGGTCCTGGTGCAGAATGATCGTGGCTGCACCAAATAAAACTTTTGATTTTTAGGTTCTACCATGTCCAAAACCACCCAAACTCTTGAGTCACTTTTCAAATCAACGCCGCAAGTAATAATTAGTAATACGATCTTATACATATGCTTAAACTACATATGGAATGCAAATATAAACAGGAAAGGGTTGGGTTATATTTTCACCCACTTAAACTCTTGTTCGGGTATACCTGAGCTATCAAATAGGTGCATGTATTTGCTCTGCATGTCCGCCCTAGTCTCTTGGTTACTTCATCGTGCAGATGATTCCTCCATGAACACTTTCACCAAAGGAAGTTTATTTGATCTCAACTTGCAAACCAACCTGTCTAAAATGGGCACGAGGGCTTTCTTATAAGATAAATCCTTGTCCAATTGAGGTTGAGGCTTCATTTGATTGCACTTAATGAAGGTCTTAATCTTTAACATTCAAATCCTACTCATTAAGTTTGCTTGTTTTTTGTGGTCTGAATCTTTATCATTTATGTCTTAATCATTAAGTGTGTTTTCTTTTCTTATTTTACAATTACTTAATGAGTTTGAACCCTCATTTGTTTCCATTAAGAGTAAGACGTCTGAATTTGAATAACATATTATGATGTGCATTAAGATCTAGATGTCTAGATCTGAATACATATCTGAATATTAAGATGTTGTCTCTAGATCTGAACACTGAATGATTAAGACAGTTTGTTTTCAATATCTGAATGTGCATATGAAATTAATTTATATCAATAAAATATTATAAAAAATTTATTGTTAAAAAAATATTACGTCTTTGATAAAAATATATTTTAAATGTTTATATTTGATTGAAAAAATTAAATTATATGATATGCAAATAAAAATTATATATCAATACAAAAATTATTATAACATGGTTTTTTTTAAAGAATTCAACATAAACATTTCATAAAAAAATTATCTAATTAATCAAATAATAAAGAAGGTTTCACATTAACAACGCCTAACATATACTATAGCTAATTAGAAAAATGAAAGAATTTCTATTTATTTCTTGATGACCTTAATCCAATTCTCTAACTTGTGCACCTCTAGTGTCGTCCATGCTCTTTTGTATCTAACAATTTCACAAAATATATTAATAGTATGGTTCTTCACGTCAATGCCATCTAATTTTTCCTTTCATTCTTCTAAGTTAGTTGTGCTATTTTTTTAATCAATAACTCTTAAGACAATATTCGTCTTCTCATTAATTTCCAATTGAGACAAATTTTTCTTTTCATCCCAAAACTCTTTTATCAGGCGAAATTGAAGATCGGGATGGAGAATTACTAAGACCTCCATCATTTTTGTCACCAACTAGATCTTCAACTCCATTAGGAGTATCTATATCTATAGTAGGAGATTCAAAAGAGATACTAGGATAGGAATAGGTACAACTTGTACTCCATCCATGACCTCTTGTTGCAGTAGAACCTTTGAAAAGTTTTGTACACAAATCTCGGAAGGGTAGAGGTGAAGCGTTCTTGATAAACATCAATACACCCCCAAAAAATTGTTAATATAAAAAAATACTTGTAAAGATTATGATAATTTACCAGTTCAAAGAGGAAAAAGTTGGTATTTGATTGAGAAAAAAAAGGAAGAAAGTTTGTAGCGCGAGAGAACAAAGTCGCGCAAGGAAACCTAGGTTAACAAGGGAAGAATCTGCTAGAGAAGTTGGTTACTTTGGACAACATTGCTATAACAGCAGAAGAGTCAATGGAGAAGGCATCCTTAATCATGAACTTTGAGCAGCTAATCAAGAATGAAGAGATCTTGTGGAGATAAAGATCTAGATTCTTGTGGTTGAAAGAAGGGGATACGAATACCAAATTCTTCCACAAGATGTCTAATTCACACGAGATATAACAACATTGACCAACTTCTTGTTCAAGGGAATCTGATCAGAGATCAAGAAAGGATTCAAGGGGAAATAATGGAATTTTACCAAAACCTGTACTCAGAGAATGTCTAGTGGAGACCTGCCAGCAACTTCACAAATTGCCCAAGGCTGACAGTGGAGGAAATGGAAGATTTAGAAAGGTGATTTGGAGAGGAGGAGGTACTGAAATGTCTAAAGTAGTGTGCAATTGATAAAGCACCTGGTCCAGATGGGTTTACAATGGGGTTCTACATCAAGTGTTGGGGAAGTGGTAAAAAATGATATCATGAAGACCTCCAGAATTTCTACGAGCAAGGAAGGTTTGAAAGACGTTTCAATGCTATCTTCATAGCTCTTATTCCAAAGAAGAAGGTGCTAAAGAATTAATAGACTTCAAGCCCATCTAGGTAGTATTTACAAGCTTTTCTCCAAAGTGCTTACTGAAAGATTGAAAAGAGTGATAGCTAAGCTTGTGGACTCACAATAACTGACATTCATCAAAGGAAGATAGATTATGGATGATGCCCTCATAGCAAATGAAGTAATAGACTCCAGGGTGAACTTGAAGAAACCAGGAATCCTATGCAAATTAGACATTGAGAAAGCATATGATCATGTCAATTAGGGATTTCTTATGGATTTGCTAGAGAAGATGGAATTTGGACACAAAATTTTGTATATCAACAGTGAACTTCTTTGTACTTATTAATGGTTCACCATCAGGTTACTTTAATTCACAGAGGGGCCTAAGACAAGGTGATCCTCTATCACTCTTTTAGTTCCTCTTAGTCATGGAGGGACTGAACAACATGATTAAGAAAACAAATAAGGAAGGTTGGTTAAGAGAATTTGAGGTTGCTAGAGCTGGAAGCGATAGCTTGAAGGTAACTCATCATCAGTATGCAGATGACACACTTATATTATATGATGCTGAAGAAGAGCATCTCAAAATACTGAGGCCGATCTTGGTAATATGTGAAGGAATGTCAGGTTTACATATTAACCGGAGGAAAAACTTCTTATATCCCATTAATGAAGTGCCAAACATGGAAATCTTAAAGTCAATCTTAGGGTGTGAAGTGAGTGCTCTACCAACTATCTACCTTGGATTGCTTTTGGGGGCCAAATCTATGTCTATGGAAATCTGGAATGGGGTGATTGAGAAATGTTATAAGAAGTTAGCAAGGTGGAAGTCCCAATATCTCTCCTCGGGTGGAAGATTGACCTTGATTAGCTCTGTGCTTGATGCACTTCCAATGTATATGATGTCATTGTTTCCTATCCCACTAGGAATCATCAATAGGTTGGATAGCATCAGGAGGAAATTTCTATGGCAAGGGAACAAAGACAGGAAGGGTTACCACCTAGTAAAATGGAAGACAGTGATCAATGAGAAAAGATTTGGGGGATTGATGATCAAAAATCTGAAGAATCAGAGTAAAGCTTTAAAAATGAGAATGCTATGGAAATATTCAAATGAAAATTAAAGTCTATGGGTCAGAGTCATTAAAGCTAAATATGAGGAGAATGATAATTGGATGACAAAGGAGGTCACTACTCCTTATGGGGTTAGCTTATGGAAATCTATTAGAATTTTGTGGAATAAATTTAAAGTTAATACCATAGTCAAAGTGGCAGATGGAGTTAAAACTGTCTTTTGGAAGGATGATTGGCATGAAGCCGGCAACATGGAGACATTATTCCTAGATATTTATAACTTAGTTTTACATCAGCACAGCACAATAGCAGAATTGTGGACACCTCAAGGGTGGAATTTTGTGTTCAGGAGACACCTCAATGATTGGGAAATACCAAGTACCAAGAGTAGTAGAATTCTTCAGCACCATCGACCAATTCAGTGGTTTGAAGGCTGGAGAAGACATCCTACAGTGGCAGGGAAATAGTAACGGAACTTTTAAAATAAATGCAGCCTATAGGAAGATAAACAACCAAACCAATAGACACTTTGATGGCCTTGGAAACACATTTGGAAAGCCAAAATCCCACGCAAAATAGCTTGCTTTGTCTGGTTATTGGCTAAGGAAGTAGTGCTGACTCAAGATAACTTGATGAAAAAGGGGATCCTTTTATGTTTCAGATGTTTTTCTATGGGGAAACTGCAGAAACAGTGGTCCATCTATTTATACATGCAAGGTCACAAGTCAACTATGGAGATTATTCCTATGTCTCAAAAACATATCTTTGTCCATGCCAAGGAAAATCATAGAAGCATTACAAAGTTGAGAAGAAGTAGGAGTACACGCTAAGAACAGAAACAACTGGAGAATTGTACCTGCAGCTACATGGTGGACAATATGGAAGGAGAGGAACCTTAGAGTTTTTCAGAATATGGAGTTGAACAAGTCAAAATGAATTGTATTTTGACTTTATGTTTATGGTGCAACCAGATATACTCTAATGATACTTACTCTAATGATACTACTCTATCAGTGATGTCTTGGACTCATTATAAGGATAGGACAATAAATTTTGAGTTCTTTTGTAAATATGGTTTCAGTACAACTGTGTTACAGAATTAGAAACAATTACCTATGTCAAAAAAAAAAAACTAGGAAACTTTCATAATAGGAAACTCTGAAATAGGAAACTTTTAAGGGATAAGGCACAAGTACCCCCGAGACTCTGACCGAAATCTCAGACACACCGAAACTTAACTAGGGTCCTATTACCCTCTTAAACTAATTTAAAATGGAATAAATACACCATAAATGTTGACGTGCCATAGAGAGTGTGCATACTCTCTTGAAGGCAAGTGATGAGTGCACAAGTTAGACACATGTCATTTTTTAATTGGTAATTTTATAATTACACATATTTATTGATATTAAAATTTTATATATATTTAATTATTTTAATTTCGTTCTCACTTTAAACTTTTTTTAAATTTTTTTTTTATTATTTTTTCATTTTAAAAAAATTATGTGTATTTTCTTAAAAAAATAATCAAAAGTGTCCTTTAATTTTAACATTTATGTTTTATTTGATTTTCTTCACTTATTTTGATATCCGTTCGAAATTAACTCATTTTAAATACAAGATATTTGGAATTAAATTTGAAATCAAATCAAAACGAAAGACAAAGAAAATAAAAAGAGTAAATAAAATCAATAGAAAATGAAAGATAAAAAACAATGAACGAAGGTAAAAGTTTCGATACAAGGTAAAAAATGTGTATTAACTTAACTTAAATAAAAGATAAAGAAAATAAAATTATTTCTTTAAAATAAAAATTTAAAAATTTAAAATAATATTTACACATGTGGCAAGCACGTGTGTACAAGCACAACCAACTTGGGTGGTTGAAAGTACCACATCAACACAAAAGGTGCACAGAAATACGAAATGAGTTAGAAGGGGTAATAAGGCCCTAGTTAAGTTTAGGTGTGTCTCTGGGATTTCGGTCATAGTCTAGGGGGTACTTGTGCCTTATCCCAACTTTTAAACTAGGAAAACATATAAATATAATACCAAAAATTCTTTCCTAAGGAAATAAGCAAAAGTTCCCAAAAAGGATTTCTGACTTTGACCAAAATATGTGGTCCTTCCCAAGTCACTTGCACGTGAACAAGAATCTTGCAACTCCTTATCTTGAGACCTTGATGACTGTCTTCTTAGGGCTTCTATAGCATCATCCTTGTCCATGGAGCTATCATGCTGCGAATATTGCAAAACAATAGGAGTTTATTGACGATGTTTCTAGGAGTCCCTTCCGTTTCGAGCAAGTAAGCAGACATCTTTTTTTAGTTTTTCCCAAGCTTTTTTTGCTGACTCGCAAGCAATGATTTAAGGAAAATTTGAATCAACAACTGAATTCTGAATTACAGTTTTGGCTTTAAATTTTTTGTTTTTTCATCTGAATGAGATTCAATTTGGGGAAGGATAGGATTTGCAGGAGTGGTTGTAAGGTATATCTTTCATTACAACTTCCCACATATCAGACTTGAAGATGTGATTTTATTTTCATTGACGAAACTTGATAGTTTTCGCTAGTGGAATTTTTGGGGAATTTTAAGAGAGAGATTGCTGCTTGCCATGTTTGAAAATAGGTTAAAAATTGATATTGGTTAAATATAACATACGCGATGGAAATAAACACCGGTTGAAAGTAGCCTTGATGAGTTAAAAATGGGTTGAAAGTAGTTTTTTAGAAGAATTCACGGATCTTAGAAGATTAATGAGGCTCTTCATACCATTGTTCGTTTTTCTAAAAGTTTGTGAAGCGAAAAGGTTGAAAGTATTGATTAAAAATATCTCTCAACTTTTATTAAGCACAATAGGGTTTTAAATAGCCAATGTGAAAACATAATCTGCATAACAATAAATCAAAAAGGCTAAATAATCTCAACAACAAAAACAATCTCATAGAAATTCAAAATTCAAGTTTATCCTAAACCTAAACAGCTTATTACACTAAAAATTACTGCAATAGTGAAAAACAAATTTCAATAGGTTTCAATGGCATGCTATGAAACTCATATCCGTGTCATTTTGGCATGGTGCTAGGTGATTAATGAAGGTTTTGATGAGTAACAATCAATTGTGTAAATTTAATAGGCAATGAAGAAGAATGATGTATTTAGGTTGACATGAGTTTCCTTCAAACTGTTCATATATCCAGCTCTGGGGGATGATTCTGCCATAAACTCCCTGTTTCCTAGAGAAACTGGATAAATCAAAGTTGTTAGGACCTTCGAACTGTATACTGACCGGGGGAAAAGAAATAAAGATATCTACATGATTTTTTAGCTCATGAGATGGATTGCACTGTGCTTGAATATTATTTGTCAGAATAGGAACATGATTTATATAATAACCTACTTTTTCTTTGTAATGTAGTATTTATAAATAGGGCTCTATGTAATGATATAGAGTAGACAATTCAATAATATTTTCTTCTTTATTTTCACATGGTATTAAAGCAGGACTAATTCCAATTTTCATTTCCTGATGTTGGGCCCTTATATTAAATTGCCCATGCACCAGTTGTCCATCCCTAGGCGTGGGTGTGAGGGGTGTGTGAAGGGTCCCACATCGCTCCTTTAAGGGATGAGTGGTCTCTTTAATTTGGCTTGGGTAATACTCACCTCTTGAGTTAGCATTTGGAATTGAATAAGGCCCAAGATCCATTTCTTTACAATACTTTCTATCAAGCAGCATTTTTTTTTTCCTTTTCCCATTAAATTTGTTCTCTTAGTTAAAAGTCGTTTTCTTTTCCTTCCTTGTTGTAAAATAAGATGCTTTACATCTATCATTCCTGTATTGTAGATTCTGTAACCTTAGGAGTTCGTCACACTATAAACATGAAATGGCTCTCGATGCTTATGGAAGAAGACTTCTGGTGACATCCAACTCCCTGAGGGCGCCTATATATCAGGTAAACTAGTTTCATGCAGAATGATGTGTTTAGGTTCCCTTGCCTCGATAGTCTCAGGGCCTAACTATACGTTCATAAGCTCTAGGTTAGCCTCTTAACTGAAAATGGAACAATCATTTGTGGGAGTCACAGAAAGTTGTCCCATCAGTAAACCGATTGGATCTCTCTTTTATTAGTTGTTATGTGTATTGACAACTTCTGTTGGGACTAGCAGTGCTCATATGATGTCACAAGTCCTAGGGGGAGTCTGATAAGATGTAGTTTCATTGGTCCTTGCTATGGCCCCTGTTCGTTTCCAGTTACTGTTATTTCTTGCCTTGCTGGTTTACTGAAGTCTAATTTATTGACAATAAATGGTTGTTAATTGTATCAGGTGCGAGGTCATGCATATGGGATGAGAACTCTTCCTCATAGTGCATCTATAACAACAGTAGACTGGCATCCGACATCACCCATCTTCTTGACTGGATCTGCAGATCACTCTGTTCGGGTTACATCTATGGCGTGACAACTTCTGATTTGTCTGGTGTGTTTATTTGGATAGTCTGACTTAAAGGAGATGAGTTGAAAATGTCATATTTATTCGTTCATCCAGTGTCTAGGTGAACCTTAAAGCTATCTGTCCATTTTTAAGTTTGATTACAACCATTAGTCAAAGGGATCATCAGAAGCACAGAGTAGAATATAAAGGTGGTAGCTCGTTGTAAATGAGGCTTACTGAAATATTAACTGAAAAAGGACAAAGAAGAGAGGTCTTGCTTCACGGACTCTTTGGGAATCACAAAAATCTCTTCAGGCGTCACAATTGAATTTTGTGTTGATTGTACGATAGGTGGACAATTGGTTTAGTTTATGCAATCAGCATCTGAACATCAGCTTTGAACTATCTGATACATTGAGAAGGGATAGCTTTGAATAATTGATAATGGTCTAGATTATTTAGCTTCATGTACTTGGTGTTCTAATATCATCATACCCAGTGTTTTGATTGGTCCCTCCAACACTAGAGGTTCTTTTACAGTTACATGTGGCGAATTTGTCGTAACATTCCAATCCTTTTTTTCAGTTTTATGTCACAATATTTATTTTGAGACTTTGTATAAGTTATTTTCTTCATTTAGGACTTATTGGCTGATTTGGTTTCAGACCCGAGAGATTCGGGTCAGTTTCAGATCACTTGAAACCTAAATGGATTGTAGATTTTTCTCTCAACAAATGAAACCTAAATCGTGATTGCAGTCACCACCTTCCATCAACAGTATTGACAGAGGAGAGTGAAAGGCACCACTTTAATATATGATCTTTTATTGACTTCCGGAAGTCAATTTTTCCTGCTGACATTGGCACACAATTTCACGGCAGAGAAACTGTGGTGAGATGAGGCATTGTGATCGCATTGACTTGACTGCGATAGTCATAAGTCCCTAACCAATTTACCAGTCATGGTCTAGTTATGGGATGGCAAAGACCATGTTCCAATACCAACATTGTTCTATGATATGAGTTTGCATTGTTTTAGAGGTGTAAGCACCGTGAAACTTTGACCTGACGATCCTAAGACATTTCTTGAGTTATTTACATGATTCCCCTGCATTTTTAAGATCAAAACAGGAGATATCAAATGTCCTAAAGTGGATTTTAGCCCTAAATTCCCAAATCATCAGATTTAACCTAGTACGCTAAGTCAAGATTGGATTTTTGCTATATATTTGGACTCCCTCGTTTGTGAGCAATCCATTCATGTAAATCATTTTGAGTTTCACTCCATTAACTTGTAATTGACTTTGACAAAAGCCTAAACTTTAGAGATGGGTCCAATGCATAGCTAACCTTGAGAATGATCGATTTGAATAGATTTGGAATGTTTGACAGACAATGAGAGAAGAAACAAAGTAGTTTTGGATAGTTAACTTACATGAATATTAGGTACATAGAGATTTTGGACCTGAAAATGTGGTTTTCTCAGGATACATGCCCGAACAAAGTTATTTGAATAATATACATATGGAGGTGATTATGTATGCATTATTCTAATGTATGCCTATGTTGTGAGTTCATATATACTTTTAGAAGCTTTAATTATGTAATGACTGGTTTTGTCGTTATTGAACCTTCTGCGATACAAGCATAAGATGTTTTTTTTTCTTCCAAATATGAGTCCTGTTTTAAAAGAGTTAGAGCCATGACGTAGCAGTCAGAAGGTCGTTGTAGTAGATGCGTTGCAGCAAAAGGGTAACCACTACAGCGAAGAATGAAAGACAGAATCTCAAGTTAAGTTAGTTTTAGGAGTTTAACTCAACTCCTAATCTAAGGATAACTTCCTCCTAAAACCGCCCCCATGATAAATTCTACAAAGAAAGAGCTTAAGAAAAGTGTAGAGGAGACTTTTACTTAAGTATAACTTGATTATTGAATCGTATATGTATTATTGAATTGACAGAGACAACATGATTCCGGTCATTGTGTTCAGATGAATGAATATTTGAATAATGTCAAAACGGGTGTGTGCGCGTAGTGACATTTAGATACTATTTGGGATATGTTTAAGATTCAGACTAGTTTGATGTGAAAAAAGTGATAGGTCACATGTTAATTTGTCTATAAAACCCAAAGTTATTGAAATAATGATGGAAGGGAAATGGTGAACTTGATAGAGTCAAACTGTATGTATTTTGTGGTATGTTCATAATGTTGTAATCATGCACTTGATATTTGTTATGGAGTGTAAAGGACTTTCTAGAGTCGCAACATGATTGATCTTAATAAAGATCTGAATCTGAATGGTTTAGATCTAAGCCCATTAAGTACATTTGTTTTATTTTTTTAAAAATATCTCTTAATAGGTCTAAATACATTTGAGCAAAACATATTTGTAAAAGAGTCTTAACACCATTCAAACTTAAAATACGTCTTTTATTTCTCTCTCCGAAACTTTCGCTCGTTCTTTTTTCTTTTCTCATCTCTTTCATATATCAATCAAGCAACATGAAATGTTTCTTTTGAATTGATAGCATCAAAATCTGGATTGGGAAAGAGATATAAAGGAATGAAGAAAATAAGTGCAGCTATTGTCGTAAGAAGTGAAAAGGTGCTCAATATTTTGTGAATCCAATCCAAGAAAAATTTCATGTTTATATCCAAGTTCTTAAAATTGAGAACGTTGATTTTTTGTTTTTTTTTTGTGAATTGTGATGAAAATGCTCAACTAAGGAAGAACGAGCCTTGATAAAAGCAATCAAACCACCCATCTCCTCAGAAATTCGTAACCGGACAAGACTATTGGTTAACCCTCTGAACATCTCTAGCCAATGGTATCACCTCCACACTAATAACGGCAAGACTTCTAATCAGTCCACAATTTGGACTAATTTAGGGCTTCATTTTAATAGAATTAGTGTCCTCAAATGCATATTTTGTCTCAATAACTGATGTAAATCCTTAAGTTTTAGGTATTTGGGGTTTGAGGCAAAACATGGACACTACTTGGCAAAAAGGAACAAAAAGGCTGAAAAGACAAAGAAAAGAAGGCCTGAGGATCGCCTAATGCATTCGGCGACTTGCCGAATGGCCTTCACCTCGCCCAAAGTTCCAGTGTGCTGAGCCCTGAAGGAAAAGATCAAGTCGGCGATGAAAAGGAGCATTCGGCGTGTCGCTGAACAGTTCCACGAGGCAGTACTATATCGCCCAATGATCCAGAACGCGAAGATGCTAAAGGCAAGAGCTGAAAGGCGATGAAGTAGACCAAAAGGCGGATCGCCGAGTGCATCGGCGATCCCGACTAACTACGCCGAGTGTTCCTTCGCAACACATTTTTTGACAACTATAAATACTAGTTTGAAGTTTTATCTTAGTATGCAATTTCAGATACAACAATTTCCGAGTGTTCCTTCGCAACACATCTAGAATTCACTACATTAGACATGGATATAATCATAGTTGAAATAATCAAATCACTACATTCATAATGTCATAATACTCTTCTTTCATCAACAAACCCACATCACTAGATCATAATTGAGAAATATGGGGGTTTCAAGGGTTCTTGGGGAATTCATCATAAAAACTATAAGAAATCATCAATTCATACATAATATAACATTATTCAATCATTAGAATCAATTTTGAAAGGAACCCATGACTTTGGAATCAAACCCTAACTTCTAGGGATTTCTTACTTTGAAATTGGATTTTGAAGGGACTCCATGAATGAATTCTATCCATGGATAAAGAGCTACCATACCTTAGAAATGAAACCCAATGGATTTGGTGTGAAAACCTAGCTTCTTGAACCCTAGCTCCAACTTCCTTCTTCTTTTTCTTCTTAGAGTTTTCTAGAGAGATTTTTTGGAGAGGAGATGAACTTTGGGAATTATTTGGGTGTCTGGAAAATATGACTTAATTTAGGTGAATTTGACTTAAAAATGACTTATATAGTGACCCTAAACTTACCCAAAATGACTGCACTTTAGTTGGACTTAAATCGAATTTCCCAAAACACCCTTCACTTTAAGTGAGCTGCCCAGGTGCCACGAGGGGCTCCATGAGCCGTGGTCATGACCACGATCCGTGGTCCCCTACGTGGACTTGAGTTAGTGGCTAGGAAACTTGTGCCTTTTGCCCATAAGCCCAAGGCAACTTCACGAGGGGCTCCACGAGCCGTGGTGATTGCGACGAGTCGTGGTCCCTCTCGTAGGCCTTGAGGCAGTGGCTTGCCACTTATTTTCCACCCTCTTACACCTAACTCTCCTCCACGAGCCATGGTCTTCACCATGAGCAATGAAGTGGCTCATGAAGAGGAGCTTGTTTTGGGCAGATTTTGGGGAGCTCACTGCCTAGCCCACCACGGACCACACCACGAGCCATGATGGTGGTCGTGGTCACTAGGGAAGTATCTAAGGGAGAGTGGACTGCCTTATTCCTCTCCCTAGTCCCTTGCCCACCTCCTTGACTCTAACCCTCACGTTTAGGTCTAGTTTAGCCTACTAGTTTTTGGGTGTTACAATATCTCCCCCTTGGGAACATTCATCCTCGAATGACGATCTAGACTCTTTACAAAAGTGAAGACTCAGGACTAGCAGCCCATCATGCATGCAACATCATCAAAATGCACACAATTAAGGAGGAAACATCAACTTCTTATCAAACATAATCAATGCATTACAAGGAAGTAGGAACTACATCTAACAACCCATTATGCAAGAACCATTTAAACATTTTTCATGATTTAGGAGGAACTATCTTCTCCAAGCTCAAAAATATGCTCAACACAATGTCATGAAGCCAATATGCAATTCACTCTCAAAAGCATACTAAATCATGTTCAATAATTCATCTCATGAAGCATATAGGCAACTCTTACTCAATGCACAATAACATGAGGAACATTAATCATAAAAACTCATTTTCTTATTAAACATAAATTTCTCAAGAACATGCATAACATAAGGAAATCATGGAAAACACAGATAACACACATGACTCCCAAAACAAGAAAACTCAAGAAGAACTACTTACCTCAAGCTTGAATAGGAGTAGAAGGAAAGAGATGAGGATATCAGGATTTCATATCGGCCTTGGCCTCCCAAGTAGCACCCTCAACTAAGTGATTTCTCCCTAAAACCTTTACGGATGCTATTTCCTTGTTTCTCAATTATTGACTTGCCGGTCTAGGATCTCTACTGGAACCTCTTCATATGAAAGACTCTCATCAACCCCATACCCTTATATAAGGGGATGATGGATACCAGATCTCCAATACACTTCTTAAGCACAGAGACATGAAATACCAGATGCACCGGAGCCAACTCATTTGGCAAGTCTAACTCATAGGCAACTTTACCAACTCGTTTAACAATTTGATATGAGCCTACATATCGGGGACTAAGTTTCCCTTTCTTGCCAGATCTCATCACACCTTTCATGGGTGAGATTTTTAGATAGACCCAATCATGAACCTCAAATTCTAGGTCCCTTCTTCTCACATCGGCATAAGGCTTTTATGTACTTTGAGCCGTTCTCAACCTCTCTCTAATGAG